TAAAGTGAGCCAAGGTGAATCTGTGTTCAAACATGAAGTTGCAGCAGCAGACAGCATGTCCAAGTGCAGCACCTTTATTTTTATAATGCAAATTTTATAAAGAAATGCAATCGGAAAGGTTTGAGTTTCAACCTCACCATTCTCCTAGGTAGGCTGTTGTGTATTCTGAGTTATGGTTAGGCAGGGGAGGACCTTCCTATATTTTATGTCATTAATATGTGTTCTAAAGAAGGGGGGTCCTGGGGGTGCAATGAGACAGTTTAGAAGTTTCTCAACCGATTCCTGTGAAGCAGAGGTGATCAGTTCCCTATCCCTAATGTTCTTTGTTAATAGAAAGTAGGCCTGTTCTGTATTCAGTGTCCTCGGAACTAATTACAGAAGATGGAGTGCTGAAATTATAAACGGGAAGCATTTCCCCCTTTAAAACATGCAGAAAGTGATGCGTGACATGAACATATCCTAAACTCGTTTTGACACAGTGCTACCTAACAATAATAATAATATATTTTCTGGCCTCGAATTCTTCCAGTGAAAACGTATTTTCTCATCCAGGTTATTTTAGATAATAATTAGATAATTTAAATATAAATGTTTGTACAGTGTGTTTCTAGTTTTGTATTTTTCTACAATCATTAAAATATTTATTACGATTTATATAATTGTTCTCTATTCATTAGACTAGCTCCATTTGTTGGGATTTCTTTGCTGCTTAAGGGAATTCTTTTTTCTATAATGTTTTTAAAACCCAGGAGCTGAATTTATTTATTTAACCCTTTGTGCCACTCCTCCCCCTTGTGTGTAGAATGTTTTAGATAATACTATTCCTTGTTTAACAGGACCACAGCTATCTTTGTATGCAGAGAGGAGGAGGAGGGGGACGTTTCCTGGTCTCTGCTGGTGGCCTCGACCTCAGATGTTCCTATAAATGATTGTGCTTCTTGATGGAGAGCGATGTGGGCTGTGATTCATGTTTCACAAACCACAAATGTGTGCCCAGGCTCTCCCTGCTTTGTGTTAAAGGCTGGAATGTGGACATATTCTAGATGGCTTCTATCTTGAAGCTCATTAGAGCTAATTTTCAGATTGTAGAAATGCCTGTGTACTTAAAATGAGGGTCAAGTGTGAGGATTACTGATGATAGTTGGGCCACTTTGCTGTTGTTTGAAGAGTAGCCTTCAGCCTCCGGTTAGATGACCCTTAATGACTGCTTCAAAGAGTGTTAAATGGAACTTTACAGACTCCAGTCTAGATCTCCTACATCCTTTTATCATGATATTTGCTTAATTAAATGTCGGTTTCCTTTTGGATTTTTTTTTTTAGGGAATAAAAAGCATATATTTTGAGGAACAGAACTTTCCTTCTGATATTGAGTCTTTTTGGAATTTTTTCCTTCTTCTGACATCTTAATATGGGCCAGTCACAGTACTGTGGTTTATAATGATGAACATACGCAGATCCTTTTTTTGTAAGGTGATCATCTGGTAAATCAAGATCTTTCCCTGCTACTAAATGAAACTATATCAAGGCTTTATAAATAAAGTACTGTACACGTCAAAGGGAATGTGTTTTGTTTTTTTTAAAGGGGAGGAAAGTCTGACTTTATTTTAAAGGTGTCAAACACCTTTTAAGGGTGGAATATATGCCCTGGAACTTTTCACAAGCTATGTGTACCCTGTACAACATTTTGTTTTCCCCCTGTAATGGGTGAGTTTATAGTAGTTAATCGACTGGAAAATTCCCAGCCTAGACAGTAAGAATTTCCCACTTTGTGTATTACTCCCAAGGGGCATCGGCCATTGACATTTCCACTGAAAATGTAAATCATAGCATGTACTGCCTTTGATAGAAGTCATCTAGTCATCATAATCTCATTATGAACCTTGAAACAGTGAATACTTTGATTAAGTTAACTGTTGTAATAACTAGGACTTTCGGACTTCAAAACCGCTTAGTAATTACAAAAAACGCTTGACTTTTATTGCTGATGACCTTCTGAACGTCTTTGGCGGTCTTCTAGGTCTAATTTGATTTAAAAAAACTACTGTCTCCCTTCCAGACTGGCACAGATAGCTCTTCGAACTCCTCACAGAAGAGGGAAGCACCAGTGAGGACAATCTCATCTCCTCTGACGAGCGGACGCTGTCGATACAGCACCCTTTCCTTGGAACACTATAATCCAGAACAAGTAGGTGGCTTCACTCTATAAAAGCTGTTTCTTGTATCATGTTTTCTGTTGAGAGCAGATGGCACTGTATAAATTTGTGTACACAACTTTTCAATCTCTTGCCGTAATTGTGGCCTGACCATTGTACTTAATGTTTTTGGAGCCTGCTCTATTATTGTCTGAGCATGGGCATGTTCCCTGCCTCCTGAATTGGACTGGCCCTTTCATTTGTCCAGTTAAAAACATATTTGGGGAAATACTTTACCAAGCATTTTGGTAAATATTTTTCCAAACCATTTTGAGGTTGTAACTAGAGCTGCAGCTAACGATTATTTTCAAAATCGATTAGTTAGCCGATTATTAAGTTCGATTAATCGGTTAATCGGATAAAAAAATAAAATACATTTTAAAAAATGGCTCCAGTGATGGACTACTAGTTTGTATTGAGAGTGTAGTCCATCACAGGAGCAAGCTTGGAGAGGTGGAAGTAAAAAAGAAAACAAAAGTGTGGTGTGCAATATAGTGAAATAAAAAGTGTAAAATTATACAGCAATGAATGCAGAATGGCACCGGCTATAGAGGACTACAAAACCCAGAAATACATTATACAGCACAATGCAGAATACCGCCAGCTATAGAGGAATACAACAAATCCCAGCAATAGTACATACAATCATCGATTATGTCGATTTAGTTGTTGCAGCCCTAGTTGTAACACAGTGATTCAGTTTGTCCTAGCACCTCATATATCAGGGTCTGAAATGAGAGTTGCGTTGTCTTGTTGAGATGTGTTTGAATTGGTTGCTGAGTGGCAGCATAGACCACAGTTTTAAAAATTGTGAGGTAGTTTGTTTATGCATTTCTTAGTCAAGATGGTGGCTAAATCTGCTTCCTGCAAGAATAAAAGTACAAAGATTAGAGAGAGCTTTGGTGATCATACCCTCACGGGGAAATGATAAACAGAGGTGTTTCCCAGAACATTCAACTGTGGTTTCAATTAGTGTGGCCTAAATAAAAAGAAAATCTGGAATGTGGTTGCTGTCAGTAGTGGGCCTCCCTTTCTTTTTTTCTCATTTATTGAGCCCTTAACAGCTTTGTAGCCCCTATGCACTGATCCTGCAGTCTACATTCTTCCCTCCAGCTCATAATACATAACCCCAGTCCTACCACAGTGGTGGCCATTCACAAAGCTTTATTTGCAAGCAGTGTGACTGAGCATATGTGATATCTGGGCTGTGCAGAGCTTTGAAGAGGAACTCCAGACAAATAAAATCTTAACCCTTGCAGTGGGCTTCCCCTGCACTGGAAGTGTTCAGTGCTCGTTTTGTCCAGGGAGCTAAAATATCAGTGTCGTACTCGCCTGAACCACAGATCTCGACTGGCTGCTAGACCGGCCCCTTCAGCCTTGCTCCTCCTCCACTCCAGAAGGCAAAAGTCCAGTGAGTCATGACATCCTATACAGTGTATAAGACGTGAGGACACCAAGGGGAATTGTTTCGCTGGAGGGGTGGAGGAGACAGGCTGGTTCTAGACAAAACAAGCTCCTAACCCATTTTCTTTAACAGTCAGGCAATAACTAGCTCTGGTAGCAACTCTAAAATTTTAGATTTCCCCTCACTTTTGCTCTCTGTAACCATGGTTACCAGTAGGTGCATAGACCTCAATAAAAGCTTTAAAGTGGGTCTAAACTTTCCAAAACGGTTTATTCCTCCTGACATTGACTAAAACAGGACATCCCACTGTGTGAAATCCAGTTTGCCAGTATATGGTGTTTTAGAACCAACTACCTGACCTCTTAATTCTATAGATCAGGAATTCCCATCTCTACCCATTCTATTTGGTCTGCAATATGTATACTTAAAGACCAACCAATTCTAATGAAAAAGACCTTGGTACAGAGAGGCTGGCATAAGTCTACACCTCTTTCAAGAGGAATGTTGACAGCTAGGCTCCTTGCTGTAGAATTTTGAAGTAAACTGAGATTTTCTGAATTTAGCAAGCCTTGTTTCCTAGATGGCATGAACAGTTAACCTAATGATTTTTCTTATTTCCGAGAGTTGCTTTTTAATAAGTACAAATTTTCTTCATTGTGCAAATTGTGTTACAGTCATTACCCAGACCTCCTTGGCATGTCAGCTTTCCAGATGACGATGACGAAATTGTGCGCATCAACCCAAGGGAAAGAATCTGGCTCACCGGTTATGAGGATTACCGCCAGGCACCAATTCACCGCAAATACCCAGAAACTGAAAACACAGACTCTTATGTGCGATTTGCCAAAAGTGAAACCTCAAAGCACGATTACAACTACCCATACGTAGATCACACGGACTTTGGTGTGTGCAAGGACCTCAAGGGTCCGGTGATAAACACACAGCCCAGCCGTTGCAAGTCCAGAAGGAAAGATGGTGAGAGGTCCAGATGTGTGTATTGCAGGGACATGTTCAATCATGATGAGAATGGTCGGGGGCAGTGCCAGGATGCCCCGGATACAATCCTAGCCGGCATACGACGGATCAGCTGCATGGGGTTTGCAGACTGCGTTCTTTACCACTGCATGTCTGACTCAGAAGGAGACTACACAGACGCTTGTTCTTGTGACACCAGCGATGAAAAGTTTTGCCTCCGGTGGATGCTTCTCATCCCTCTGTCAATCATCGCTCCTTGCATGTGCTGTTACCTCCCACTACGAGCCTGTTACAACTGTGGTGTCTTGTGCGGATGCTGTGGGGGCAAACACAAAGCAGTGGGGTGACTTGTGTTCAAGTTGGGGGACTTTTGCATTTCTTTCAATGGTTTGCCGGGAAGCGTTTGTGCACGAAACACTCCCAACAGGTCAGCCGGTATGTTCCCAAAAAGGCTGGTTACATCAGCCTCAGCAGAGGCTCCTTGTAGGCTTCTCGTAAACGCCTCTTCGGCTGGGAAAGATGAAATACTAAACTAGTAGCAAGATTGCTTTGAAAAAGAATGGGCAATACAGTGATGGAATGTGGAGATGCTGAATCTGTCAAGCTGTCTTGGCAGTCTAATGTCACCTGTAAATAGATTGTTCTTTTGTTTTTGCACTTCCAGTAGTGTGATATTAAGACTCCATCTTTAAAAGGATGGGAGTCTGCAGGGTCCTGGAAGTGAAAGGGTTTGTGTAGATCTAATGAGTATTTTAACCTGCAATCAGGTATTCTGTGCTTATCTTCTATAACAAGGGTAACAAGAGTACCATAATGCAGTATTGCTATTTCTCTATTATGCCAAAACCAACTTATTTATGCGTATATAGTATTTGACGTCCATTACCATTTCTTTATTCCCCCCCACTTTATTTGTGTGTGTTCTAGTCTCTCAATCTTTTCTCGTCAGTTTCTGCTCTGGTCGACTAACTTGACTTCCAAGCTTTTTTTTTTCTTCTTTATTTATACAGGATGCGTTCTAATCTAGCAGTTAGTACACTCCTTGGTTGTGTAACAGACTTTGCACAAAGCCTTTATAGTGACTGTCATTTTGGTGGGTTGGACATACAAACCAAATGACACTAGTCCCCTTTAAATATTGCAGTAATATAAAGTTTAGCTTTAGCTGTTCCTCCATGCTCTCTATAATTACACAAACTATCCTCCATATTAATGATTTTTTTATTTTTTTTTGGAAAAGGGAATTTAATACTCACTAAGAGTTCTAAATGAACTGATCGAAATTTAATTTCCTCCATAACCAAGCATTTTTCACCCTTCCATGCTTTGATTATTTTATTTGAAAAACACTAATGAGCTTATTCAGTAAGACGAAAGGACTTACACAACCCATAGCAACCTATCAGAATGAATCTTTGGGCAATTTGATTTTTGTAAATTGAAGGTCAGTTTGTTGAGCTGGGTTACTGTACATTTTCATAGCTCCTTGCACTTCTTAAATGAATATACCTGTAAAGTTTGAAACAGAAAGTTTCTGTGAAGTTCTGAAAAGTTTTTTTGTACTGCAGCAGTTCTGTTTAATAATTATTGAATATATGCAAAAAAAAAATAAAAAAAAATGATTGCTCTTATGTTAAAGAAGACTTTGACGGTGTTGGCTAAAGTACCAAGATGTTAGAGGACTGATATTACTGTAATCATTTTCTATCATATGTAGATATTTGGTAAACATGTTAATGGTAAATTACTTAATTGCATGCGAGGTCAAATATTCAAAATGTGGCTTCCCTATAGACAGAGAGCCACAGTTTGGTTAAAATGTTTCATTTTTTTTCACTTCTGTAGAGAGGCCTTGACTAAAGAAAAAAAAAATGATCGTACCCCAATTAAAGTAAGCCCTCATTAAAGTGGTTGGTGGCTCTTTATCTTCCCCCTTTGTAGTTCTGTTTTTTAGTTACCAAACTCTGGTATGCCTTGTAGCTGCTAAAGTGCTTTGTTGCAGGGCAGAATTATGGGACATCCTATGCTGTGGTGTGGCCAAGTAAACTTAAAAAGCCATAGGCCGGACTATGGACCACCATTTACCACCGTCACAACCTCTGTAGTGTCTGATTGTACCACCTGTAATGCTCTGTGCTTCCACATTAACACCCATTGTTTGGCTAGAGGTGCATTCTCCATCAGTATGCAGTGCCCTGCCCCCAGAGGGTTGTTATCATTTTAGGATGTTCTGTACAAAATGGCCACTGAAGCCCCAAGGAAATATATATATATATA